TGCCCTTTCTAGATAAAAGACAAGGGACCTAAAACAGGACCAGAGTCAACAAGAATGTATGTGAGGCTGCCTCTGATTTGTGGCCTCTCTGGGGTTCCCTGGAGGACAGTGTGCTTGGTATTCTTTGTCCACTTGCCCAGGCCCCTCCATGTGCTTCTTCCAAGTCTGGATCACGCTTTGCACACTAGGACTGCCTGCATTGTATAAGAACTTTCCTCTCATCTAGAGGCTGAGAAGGGAAAACAGGCAGAGGAAATTCCCTAACTTGGGTGGCTGGAAGAGGGCAGAGCAGGGGGTATGAAGTTGACTCAGGCAATGGGAGCAAGATGGGAGCGGGGCTGTGGGGGTGTGTGCGCTGTGCTCCTTCATGCCCCGCCTTGGAACCTCCTTCTAACAGGGACCCCTCTGTTGTTGTGGCTCCGAGCTCCACTGGAGCAGCATACTTTCCCAGTGATGCCACTGGATTCCTGATGTGTGACACCGCAGGGCAGCATGGTGAAGGGTGCCGTTGACTGCCTTGGGGCCCCAGACAGGCCTGCCATTGTGAGTCACATTTAACATGTGAGCTCCCCTTTCCCATGACTGGCACTATTCTTAGTACCAGTTTCTGCTCTGGGGGGACAGAGGTTTGCTGGGACTATAAACCCATTTGGGTAGGTGGATGGGGGAGGTAGGATCGGAGAGGGGAATGTGGAGGGAGAGTTGAGGAAGCTTTGAAATGTCAGAGCATGTTGGAGCAAGGGCAAAGGAAGGAGGCTGGAGCCTGAGGCTGTGAACAGGTCTATGCTAAGCAGTCCAGAAATGTCCTCAGGAGATCTCTAACAGGGACTGCAAGTCTCCTTCATGCGTCTGGGGCGTGGACTTGGATGCGGCTGGCGGATAGGCAAAGCCGGTAAGCATCGCAGCCCCAGGGCTGCGTCTACGCTTTGCCTCCATGTGGACCCAGTTTTCCCTCCGGAAGTGAGTGAGTGAGGCTGATAGGTTGCTGTGGGAACAAGGTCCTTGTGACACCACTGAGGAGTGAGATAACCTGGAAGCCACAGTTCTGTACCCTTCCTCTCGCTGTTCTCTCCAGCAGAAGGGAAATGTGTACAAGTCAGTGAAACGGCATCAGCGGGAAGTTGACTTTTAAGAGGAACCATGGAATTGTCTCATTGGGTACAATAGTGTAGGGTCTTATCCCCCTCTTTTTGGTGGGTAGGGGAGGAGTCCAGCTAGGTAGACCAGGCTGGCCTTGAACTCTCGCTTCTCCTGATTCTGCCTCCCGAGTGCTGGGATCACACACAGGTGTGTGCTAGCACACCTGAATGCCTATGGGCTGTCCGAAGGCATGCATCAGCTAACCTGCGTCTTCTGTAAGAATCCCAGGAAGAGGCTTGCGCTGACATGGCTGCTCTCTCAACTGTCTTGGAAATCGAATCAGAGACATTTCTTCCCATTCAAGTGCCTCTCCTTGGGCACCTGCTCTCCCTGTTTACATCCTTTCTTCTTTTTAGTGGATGTGGAAGAAAAGACCTCAAGAGTAGATGATCCTAGGACTTGGGTTACCAGTGCCCAGAACTGACATTTTTTTTTTATGTTCCCTCTGAACATAATAAAACTCACAGTGAGGAAAAAAAAAATCATCTCCAGCAAGGATTCACCTGTCCCCAGTTGTATTCACACATCAGTGGGCAGATGCTCATAGGCTGTATTAGGGAGTTCTTTGGTATTGAAACTTAGGTAACACTGTAGGAAAATCACTTCTGTCCCCTGAGCTGATACTGATGATATGATTTGAAGTCCCTCTTTCTGTCCCAGCCTCAAGGGAGGGACTGTGCTAGACTCCTGAGCCTTCCTTTCTAGGGCCTGCCAGTGTGCTTGCTGTACTGATCACTGACTAGGACCTGCCTGGGTCTTACCATCTTTCTATCCCTCTCCTCAGCTTGATATTCAATGTCTCTCTGAGAGGGATTTTTAAGACAGTTTGAGAGAGGTTCCACTACTGTAAAACTTAGCCACTGCAGGGGCCTGACTAGGCTGGCAATGTCCCTTGTTGGGATGGGTACCTAAGTTAGTAGGTGATATGTCTCTCAAGAGTCCTGGAAGAGACAAGGAAGGTGACTCCTGAAAGCTAGATCCATTTAGCACTTGGGTTCCTGAAACCAGGCAGTCAGTTTAGTTAGGTCCATGGCTTTTGGTTTGGACAATGTATTGAAGAATCTGAGGTATTGACCTAGGTATTCTATTTCTCATCTGAATGGCTTTACCCAAGTTAGATACCCATCCTGTGCATTAGGTTTTCTTTCTGCTGAGAAATGGTAGAAACCAACAGATTAATAACAGCATCCATCCCATAGAGTTACTGAGAATTCAGAAGCAGACAGTAAGGCATAGATGTGTCTCATGTTGTGAAGGCCTCAGTGAACTGTGGCTCCTTTTTTCTTAGGGGTTTTCTTATTTATGAGGTCTGTAGTATTGATACAGAGTAATCAAAGAACTCTGATGTCAGCTTTTCTGTATCTGTTTTGGGGATACTGCTTGTTGTATAAGATTTCTGAGCGTCGGCCGGGCGGTGGTGGCGCACGCCTTTAATCCCAGCACTCGGGAGGCAGAGCCAGGCGGATCTCTGTGAGTTCGAGGTCAGCCTGGGCTACCAAGTGAGTTCCAGGAAAGGTGCAAAGCTACACAGAGAAACCCTGTCTTGAAAAACCAAAAAAAAAAAAAAAAAAAAAGATTACTGAGCGTCACTGGGAAACTTATAATTGACATTGGGGCTATTACAGTTCATTTCTCAAGGGCAGTTTGCTTTCTTAGCTCCTAGGTCACTGAGAAAGACTTCTCAGCGGGTCTCTCATTTGCCATGTTTAGCTTCCTGTGGCTGCAGACTTAACTGGACTCCCAACTGAACATGTATCTGAGTTGTGTTCTAAGTGGATTCTTACAAACAGGTATATATGGAGTGAGTGAAGGCTTTACGACGGCGCTCTGGGTTGTTTCTTCAGATAATTCATTGGCTTGGAAGGCATTTGCTAAATGCTTTTATTCTTAGCTATATATCTGGCAAGATGGCTTCACAGAGCCAAAGGTACGTTCTCAGTGTGGTGAGGAAGAGCTGGTTCATTTACCATATGCAGCATGTGTGTGCCAAGGAGAGACTGAGCTCCTTCGGCTGCACATGGTGGTATCTGGCCCTACATGCTTTCTCCGGTGGTGTTGAGAAAGGCTTCCCTGGTATTTTGAGTCTGACTTTGGAGCAAAGTCACTTTACTTTTCTGAGTACCAGTAGCTTAGAAAGAATAGGGCTGCCTGAGTCCCACTCTTAGCATACCTTGAAGGGGTGTAAGATAGAGTGAGAGGTGGGCATAAAGAACATCCCTTTTAATGGAGACAATTCTAAAGCCTGTTTGCTGTTGATTCTGAGTTTACTTTGGAGCAGACACATTTACAAATTTTACTTTTAGGTATGAGAATATTAATGTCATAAGGTGCAGTGTAGACATTTAGCAAGAGGTGCTGACAGGTGAACCGATAACTTTCTATCTGCCCACACCCATAGATTAGATAGGATTGATTTCTGGTCATTTCATAATAGGAAGATAACCTGCAAGGAAGACTTGTAGATTAAATCCTTTAGAATAGGCCATTTGACTGTTGGGGTACACTAGACTTTCTAGAGTTACGTTCTTGTACATATAGATAGGAGGAGAGACAGGAATGTACACACACACACACACACACACACACACACACACACACACACACACACACACACACACACGAGACAGAGACAGAGGGGGTGGGTATAATGAGAACTAACCCTGTGAATACAATGCAGGGCAGTCCTCATCTGACCTTTGAGGATCCCTTGGGTAGCAAACTGATTCCTCACATAGTGGCAATGTGTTCCTTTCTTAGTTTTGGCTTGAACATTTGTGTAGGGGACTACCCACCACCCCCACATTTCCCCAGAGTGCTCTTGAGTAGGAGCAGCAGGAAATATTAGATAGAAGAATTAGAGGGGCAAGATAAAGATAGAAAATACAGGATAGCCTCAAGAGGGCCTGGAACCTATTCCAACAGGCCCTGACTGTCTCTGCCCCAGGGTATTTGTAGAAGTGCCAAGGGGTGGAGCAAAAGACCTCCCCCCAGCACAGCCAAGTGCAGATCATTTCAGACACCTGCACTCAGGCCGGTGGTCCATAGAGAGGTCATCCTCTCTATGCAGACCTGCTGGGTAAAACCACTAGGAATCCTGAAAATGGGCCCCCACAAACGTGCCGGAAGTGGAGCCATGGTAGAGAAAACCATCACAACTGAAGGGCATCAAGTGCCTGTTCCTCATGAGAGGATGCGAGCACAGAGACAGAGCCTTCTTCATCACAGATCAGGGCTGGAAGCCCCTGCTGTGGAAAATGCTTCTGAACTTTGAGTTCTGAAGGACCTGGCAAAGACTTTCCTTTCTTCTAAGGCAAATGTAATGACTTAGTGTTTAAAGGCACATAAAATACTCACTGCCGAATGTGGTGGCACACGACTTTAATCCCAGCACTAAGGAGGCAGAGGCAGGTGGATCTCTGAATTTGAGGCCAGCCTGGTCTATATAACAAGTTCCAGGCCAGCCAGGGCTACATAGTGAGTACTTCTCTCAAACCAAATAAACAAGCAGCAAAGAGGATACTTCCTTAGAATATCTCCAAAGACAGACTGTATTTTTTTCCAGAGTTTGCATAGCAATTAAAAGAGGGTGACCCTGAAATTAATAAAGAACAGGCAAGTGATAGAGTATGTCTTGTGATTCTCCTTGTTTCTTCTGGAAGGAAGCTCTTCACTTTCTCTGAGCTCAGAGTACTTGCTCCAGTGTTTGTGCTGAGGCAGGCCTCACTCAGTTTTCTCCTGTCTAGACAGGCTCAGAGGAGGGATGTGGGGCTCCTGCACAGTGGGGCTGCTGCACAGTGGGGCTGGCCGCTGCGAGCCTTGAATACGCGTTGTTAATGATCCACCGTGCCTTGTGCTTCCAGGCAGCGGCCCGATCCAGCTGTGGCAGTTTCTTCTGGAATTACTCACTGATAAGTCTTGCCAGTCTTTCATCAGCTGGACAGGAGATGGCTGGGAATTCAAGCTTTCTGACCCCGATGAGGTAAGAAAAGAGTGACTTGGGAGTCCCGGGCTGAGGAAGGGTGAGAGAAAACCCTGGGATTGTGATCCTGTGGGCCTGGATCGCAAGCTCCGCTCCGCCACTTCTCGCTGATTGTGTACCCAAGAACTACCGATGCAGCCTGCCTGGGCTTCAGTTCCCTTGTTGGCAGAACGGAGAGTGGGTACACTGTCTATTGACTTTCTGGGACGAACTGATACATATATAAATTCCTGGTACACAGTTGGCCCTTCATCAGTAGACACACCTTCTGTGACTCACCCTCTTCCTAGTGGCTGGCTCTGTGAATTTGAGAGGCCTTGCAAGGTGAATGTACTTCATTCACTTTTCCATTCTTTTGTCTCAGAGTGCTTACTAAGTGATTCATCTGTGCTGCACCTGATTCCAGTGCCAGAGATGAATGGATAGGAGACAGGAGATCTTTCTTCTGGCAGACATGAGAAAGTGTTTGCACCCTGGGACAGAAAGGATGCTTCCTGGTGGTGAATGCAGGGGTGGCAGCTCTCCCACCCCTTCCACACTCTGCTGTCCTTTCAAATTAAGGACACCTGCTTATGCTGTGGGCTAGAGGGATGTCTGTCCTGTGGCTCTTCTTTTTCCTTCAAAATCAAGTAGTTTAATGATTTCATCAGTTTAAATAATTAAATCGAGTGCAACACTTGGAAACTAGAACTTAGAAATTCTTTTGCAGCAATGTATATGGAAGGGGCCAGCATTCTATTAAGAGGAATATGCTGGACTCAGAGAGGCAGCACATATTCTCACTTAGGTTTAGAAACTGAATTATGGGTCCCATAGAAGTAGGGAATAAAATAATGATTATCAGAGCATAAGCAAGAGGAGGAGAAGGGGACAGAGAGACAGTGGCTGCTGAACCAAGGATGCTGTTATGGGAAGAGAGAACTTTAGAGCTTCTGTGGTATTGTTGGGTGGCTGTGGAACAGTCATCAGCTATTTCAGGGGAGCACATGGGAGTTATTTTGAATGGTCTCCAGAAAGTAATAGTAAATGTCTGAGGTTAAAGGCATGCCATGTAACCCGACCTGATTGTTACACAGTGCATAGGCATATTAAAAGGTGGCATTTTAATGTCCACATTTTGCTGAAATATTCTCTGAATTTCCATGGCTTCATAGTGTACATTCACAGTAACGTACAGTTACTGTGAAGAATGCAAAAATATTCTTAAGAATAAAAATGAAATTCAGAGGGACTAGCTCAGAACTGTGTACACACACAAATTTCTGAGCATTTTTATTTGACAGTCATGAGTCATGATGAATGTGTAGAGGTGTATTCACTGTATTCTAGTATTACCCTACAGACTTTTACCTACTTCTGTTTAATTTTATTTCAGGTGGCCAGGAGATGGGGAAAGAGGAAAAACAAACCTAAGATGAATTACGAGAAACTGAGCCGTGGCCTTCGCTACTATTACGACAAAAATATCATCCACAAGACGGCGGGTAAGCGCTACGTGTACCGCTTCGTCTGTGACCTGCAGAGTCTGCTGGGATACACTCCCGAGGAACTGCACGCCATGCTGGATGTGAAGCCAGATGCTGACGAGTGATGGACACAGAAGGGACTGGGGGAACCCTGCTGAGACATTTCAGAAAACAACCGCGTTGGCTGGACTCTTAATTTTTAGTTGTTATTCTATGTTTTATTTTCCAGAACTCATTTCACATTCAGGGGTGGGAGCTAAGGGAGGTGCAGCTGTATTCCATTGGCCATTGGTGAGGCTGGAAAGAGAAAGTCAGGACCTCTGGGGTGGGTGGGGCAAGAAGCTCCTGAGCAGATTTTTCAGGAGAGAGAAAAAGGTCTTCTTAGAAGTTTGATGGACCTGGTTTGCAGGAGGAAGAGACTAATGTGTCCAATCATTAAAACAAGTTTAAGAAAAAAAGTCCATCTTGAGTTATGGATTTAATAGCAGGAGGACTTGTCACATCATGAGTAATGGGATTGACTAAAGTCAATACATCTGGAGGGTGGGATTAAAAACATTTTCTTCAGGGGATTACTAAAAACAAGAATTATTAACCTTTCTACTTTTTGAAACAAAGATGGACTTCAATGGAGGGGGTCCAAAACTGTTTTTATGTTAAAGTTTATTTTATTAAATTTTGTGCCAGTATTTTTTTTTTCTTAAAAAAAAATGTCTTAAGCTCTAAGATGGTCTCAGTATTGCAGTATTGTGAGTTTGTTCTTTTTTGGCGGCTGAGGATTCTGTCACAGTGAAAGGCAACCATTTATATAGACCCCATCGGAAAATCAAAGCTCTGTACTGAGATCAGAGACCCCAGACTCACCTGATTTAGCTGAAGGAAATGAATGCTGATTTGGGAGCAGGGGAACCGTGCATGTGAATTATACCTGCAGTTTGTATAAAATTTTCACGTCCCTTGTCATTTAGAGGACTGTCAGGCTTTGGACTTAGTGTAGTTAAGGGGCATTAAGTCTTTGCACTGAATGTATTTTGCAGCTCTGATTGGGGACTGTTGTCAACATAGGAATACTGCTAAAGTCTTGGAAAGGAAATTGAAGGAGGAAGATTAACCTGGTTTTTGATTAAATCTCTACCTGAAACATAGATGACTCAGAATAAAAGCTGTTCAAATGGGCATTACCCGTCAGGTCTTAAGTAAGCCCCAAATGCATGCCATTTCAAATGAACACTCTACAGTTTCTCCTCTACGTCTTATTTTCCTGGCATCCCACATTGTTACCCCTCCCGCCCCCAACCTCATTGTTCAGTAGAGTGGAATGCAATGCTTTCTGATAGGTGAGTAAAAGTGTAATTTCAGACATCACGACATGAATCCAAGAGTACAGACTTGGTAGGTTCAGAAGCCATGGAAATTCAGAGAGTATTTCAGTGGCACGTGACTTGGCCTCCTTTGGGAAGAGGCTTTCCTTTGAAGAATAGGAGCTTGTCAGGTAGGACTTCAGGTGAGGCTGCATGTAAAGAAAGTGGTAGAGAGTGCTGGAAGCTGGAGCTTGACCTGGTGCTTTGACAGAAGACAAGGGAAGGTCAACTGCAGATAAGAAGAGTGACTTAAAGGAGAAGATACAAGGGGAGGAGCTTGGTGAGGAAAATAAAGTGGTCCATGATGTTTAAATATGTTTTTAGTTCCCTCAAAGCTTAAATACAAAGAGTTAATTGAGGCAACCATCTTCCTCCCCTTGGGAGGGGAGACCTGAAAAGAAGGTATTGGGGGTAAAAAATAAACAAGGAAACTTGCCTGGTAGCATTAGAATCCCTTCCACTGTACACTTGTCTGGTTAAGACAATGATAGTGGATGTCCATGAGAGAAAAGAGGTAATTGATTGAGATGGGCATCTCCAGGCTGGCTCTTTTGGGGGATTCCGCTATGAAAATGAAAGTTGTAACTACCTTGTATCATCTTCCTGAGAGTTGATGGCTGACTCCCAGATTCTCTTGCAGACTCTGAATTATTAAGAACATAACTCTTGTCCGTGGATGTTCTGTACTGATTGACTGGAGCATCCTCCACACAGGGAAGCAAAGGCAAAACATCCCAGCTATATATTTTGATCTTACAGATGCAGGTGCCTTAATGAAGCTCTCAAAATATTTAGGAGCTGCTCAGGGAGTATTAGGTGGGATCATTTGGATTATGTTGTTTTATATTATGTGATCTTTGTTGGGCACTGGCAGTGTGTGTGTGTGTGTGTGTGTGTGTGTGTGTGTGTGTGTGTGTGTGTGTGTGTGTGTGTGTATGCACTTGTGTAAAACTGCAGCTGAAATAATACTGAATTTTCTACTTAAGTCTGTCCACATTTCTGTAATGGTGAAAGAGTACAGCCAGGGCTGATATCATTGCTTGCTGTTTGCAACAGGGCTTTAAACAGTCATTTTCCCAAATAATCCTCCTCTTCTATTCAATGCATGCTGAGAACTCTCCTTCTGTGAGGCTAATGCCTGCAGTCCCTATGGCAGATGAGATGTGAGAAAGTGCCTCCTTGCACTCCTCAGCTTGCTGACTTACTTGCCAAGATGTCCCTTCTCCCTAGGTCCACCATTTTCAGGATTGTAGATAGTATATTAGTCAGACAGCTTTGTTATCCATCTGGCCAGATGCTTTTTGTCCTTTTGTCCAAAGGCCAGAGACCATCCAGGAAGAGTGATGGGTGGTTTATACACTGGAAATGTAGCAGCATTGTTGCATTGATGCTCTTTAAAAACACGTTAACTTCAGAGGAAGGATGAACAAATCTGATCTAGCTGGGTGACACTCTGGTTTTCCCAGAGAGATGCTTTAACCTGCGTGTGGCTTTTTGGCTCAGAGTCCAGGAGGAGGGGACTCTGTCCATGGAGCTCTGGTTTTGTGGTTGTGGAGATTGGTGGAAGCATTTCCAGATCAGAGGCGCTCTTCCTCACTTTGGAGACCAACACTCTGGGTTTTAAAGCATTAACCTTCATGGTGAAATCATACCTTCTCTCTTCTAGTCATGCTGTGCATGCTGCTTTCTCTGTTGGGGTCTATATAAATTTGTTGAACTCTTACGTACATTCCAAAGAAGTTTCAAGGAACCACAAATATATGTATACAAATACATATATGAAGTATATATGTTAAAATGAAATTATCTCTATCAGGAATACTGCCTCAGTTATTGAATTTTTTTAAGAATACTTTTTTTTAAGATGAGAATTATTGGGGTGAAAAAGATGTTATATTGTGTTTGACTATTTTCCAACTTGTATTTTCATATAATTTATATTTTTTAAATGCTGAAAATTTAAAAGCAAGATTTAAAAAGGAAAAGCAGGTGCTTTTTAACAATCAGAACTGAGGTAGCTTAGAGATGTAGTGGTGTGAGTGTCATATGGTTTTTTTTTAAACAAATGCAAAAAAATTCTTATGGGGGAATTTTTTGTTTGTTTCTTTTAGTAGCTGATGCTGGCACATCATTTTGCTGGAAAGTTTTTTATATACTGTAGCCTGATTTCATATTGTATTTTAAACTGTGTGAAATTAAAGAAACAAAGAAATTCATTCATAATGAGGTGGCTCTGGCTTGATTCTTTCCTGTCTACATCATGGGAAAATTAGGAGAAATTAACCAACCAGAGAAAAACACAGAAGAAATACAGTTTAGTTCCTCAGATCCTGCAGCTTGGGATCATTTTAGATAAAGACTGACTAATAAAAGGTTAGAGATATAGGGACACAGTCTTAGCGTCTCAGTGATTACCTTTATTGTTTATTTCATCCTTTGTGGATGCAGTCTGCTTAGTCAAACCTCATTTGTTCATTTCTGAAGGACCAAGAACCATGTGAAGAAAAATTGTAATGACTTAGCAGGTAGCCTTTGGAGTCCAGCTAGATACAGTTCCTGATGTCAATATAGATAGACAACAGTGTTTTAACAGGTAGCCTTTGGAATCCAGCTAGATGCAGTTCCTGATGTTAATAGAGACAGACAGCAATGTTTTGGTTTCTTCTGATGGTAGCTGTGCTCTTTGGCAATTTAGACTTATCATATCCATCTCTTTGGCCCGAACCCTTCCACTGGAGCTGGGAATCAAGAATTATAATGTCTCTTAGGACCCCTCCAACCTATGCTATGAGTAGAATATGTATTTGCAAGTGTTTCTGGGAGAAGAATGCTTAGGGCTGCATTCTACATGCTGCTCTTTCTTGTTGAAACTGAAGAAGGTGGATGTTTTTAATTAACACCAACATTTGCAACATGAATCCAAACTCACAGCTGGAAGGAGAATTTTTGCTGAATTGTTCACAAAGAGAACTCTGTTTTTGGAAAATCTGTTTCTTCAGTCCTGGAACTTGAGGTTTGCTGAGCACACGTTAAACACAGACTGTGTGGTCTAGTGGTCAGGGAGCCCAGCTGGCCAGGAGAATGGCTTTGGTCTTGGGAGCCTGGTGAAGCTACCACAAATGGACAGATTATTTTTTTTTTTGGAGGGGGTTTTGAGGTCCTCAAATTTTGTGCTGAAAAGCTGCAAACCTGGGCAAAGGCACTACTTCCAAGCCAACCTGAAGCCACATCTGAGATCTTCTGTCCCTGAATAAATAGTTCACAGAGAACGGATTCCAGCTTCAGTCAAGGCTTTGGGCGAAAAGTGTTCCAAGTTGACATTATTTCTCAGAGTATCTGACTACATGCTGACCACAGTGAACAGTATAAGGCACACGTGAATGAAGTCAGCTTAATCCTTTTTCTCTACAGCTAGAAGTCACATTTCCAAAGGGGAATTCTCAGGCAATTGAACCCTGGTGTTCTCTTAATGCCACCGGTGAGACTCTGTATTGAAGCCATTGTGGATGGAAATAGCAACAAGACAGTCACAATGGCAGGATTGAGAGGGATGGGACCAGGTAAGGTAAAGGGAAATGGAGGAAGAGGAGTCATTTCAAAGAAGGTGGCAAGACACAGACTTGACATGTTCTCAGAAGGTGGCCAGATAAGATGTGCCAAGTGTTTTGAAGCCTTATTGTCATGGCAGTATAGCAAATTACCAAAACAAACATGCTCTGAACATGTTTCCTTTCTCTGAATTGATCAACAGATACCAGTTAATCTGTTTTCTGTAGTCTAACAGAATAACTGAGGTAAGAGGTAGAGAAACAAGTTTTCTTTAGTTCATAGTTTTAGAGAGCAAAGTCCAAGATTAGTGGCCTTATGTATTTGACCTCTGGGGAGGACCTGATGGTGGGTGGCATCATGTTGGGACGGCATAGACAGGGAGACCATATCTGATGATATAGAGTGTCACAAGGATCCAGAGCCAGGATTACTATTTTCATAATAAATCATCAGAACTAACTAATTTTTCACGACCAGCATGAATCCCTTCTGAGGGGCCATGCCCTCTGGACCTAACCACTTTCCACTAGACCTCATCTCTTAAAGTTCCACCACCACACTGAGGATTAAACCTCTAGCCCATGAGTCTTTTTTAGACAGATTCAAACTATATCCAAGCCATAGCAAGAGTTTTCCAGCGCAGTATAACTGTTTTCACCTGAAAAGAGATGGTGATTTGTGTTTGGGGCAAAATAAGGGAGAATTTATAAGCTAGTGATGCCATAACAACATCCCATGACTGAGATGGTTCATTTGTCCTTCAAAGTGTGGAACCCACTTGCACAACCCAAGTGAATATCCTCCTCACATAGGTAGGAGGAACTCGGCATGGGCACTGAATAAGCCATCTCCTTTGGATGAATGGGAATCTCCTATTTTATCCCCAGCGGGCCAGCCCTCTGCATCTACATGCTTGCCTATTCCCGGTAGAATGTGAGTTTGTGGCTCTTACGTATCTATCCTCAGTCCGTGTTTATCTGACACGAAGCTTATTGAATTCAAGAAACTCTAGTGGAAGAGAGTGCAGAAGGTCATCCGGGTCATCAGAGAGCCGTCTGACCTCTAAGTCCTTCTTTCCATTATGCCATGTGGTTGCCATAGAACTTGAAAGGCTTCCTTTGAGGACACGGGGTGACGGCTAACCATCTGTGGGAGCCATAGTCCTGGAATAAGAGGTACACTTCGTCCTCTAACCATGGAAGGGGACAAAGTCTCCTTTCAGTAAGGATGATTCTCACCCTTCAGCATCCTCCCTGGCCTCTCCCTTTCTGCAGAGTCCGCCCTGGAGGTGGTTTGCAATGTGGTCTGCTTGTACAATCTCGTCTCTGTTTCAGATGGAGAGGATACTTGACTCACCTGGAAGCTGGCTCTAGGACCAGCCCTAGCTCCTTGGTCCCATTTTGGCTGAGCTTACTGTTGGTTGCTTACCCCCCCAAAGGGATCCCTCCTTGTTATAAGAATCCACATGGTCCTCAAAGCAATGAATAACCTGATAAAGACTACTTTATTGGGGCCTGTTGTAATGAGACAGTTACTCCAGGAGTCTAATTACAGCACTTTTTGAGCGACTGGTGAGAAATCACAAGGCTAAATTGGGAGTCACACCCATTGATTGAGAGCTCAGAACCCAGGTTAGGGGATAAAGTGGACCAGGCTTCTGACTTTGGGTCAATGTCATTTCCTGTTTTACTGAATGTCCCAGTCCCCTCCTTTGTTTCCATTTTCCTGGCAAATCCATCTGTCCTGGGAAAACCACTCTTTTCAATCGCCTGGCGTATCTCTATGTGCTGACGTCCAAAGTAATGATAGCAATGACCATCTGCCCACAGCAACAAGAGGAAATCTACAATGGCCAGGTCTTGTGACATGTTTCCCAATTCCCAAAGCCTGCAGGGAGTTTACAGACCTGTCTCTAATCTCTCATCACTGTCCTTCAGGCTCTGATACTCTTGGCCACAGCATTTCACAGAACTTTGAAGTTGAGTTGGCTCTGGTCACTCCCTGTGATATGGCGTAGAGAAGCAAGGGAATTTTCAGCAGCCACTTGTGGCAATTACTAAGGTCAAGAGATGGCCAGTGTCTCTTCTGTGTCCCCTGCTTGACACTATCAGCTTGAGCCGTTGGATCTGAGCCAATGCAGACCACTGTAACCTTTGTATAAGCAAATGGGAAACTGCAGCCGACTCTTCAGGATCTGTTCCCAAGGTATATCTGGATATGACAAGAGAGCAGAGATACTTGAAGTGGGACCAGAATTCACAGGCCCACAACACCGATGGCACCTATTGGCTTCCTTTGAGATTGCCTTGTTGAGGCAAGACTCCTCCAAACTACAGAGGAGAGATGGCACTGGAACTTTCTATATACTTTGGTGGGACTTGTGCAGTATTCCTAAGAAGGGGTAGCTGGCCTCCCAGATCTCTGAGACTGCAAGGTCAACACAGGGCCGGGGATGTAGCTCAGTGATAGAACACTTGTCTACCATGTACAAGGTCAAGACTAAGTGAAGAAAGGGAGGAAGAAAGGAAACTGTACAGTCCAACCCCAAACCTGTTCCTAACAACAACTGAGTTGAGATCCCATCTGTCTTCTAAGCTGTCATTTAGATCAGTCTTGTTCCAAGTTTTCTGACTTCCATGGAAATAGAAGGTACAAAAATCCAGTGCACAATACACAAATGAAGACAGTTCTTCAATTGGGGACGTATAGACACATCTATATATATTTTGTATACTAGTATATATGCATCTTAGGTAGATAAGATGATAGACAATGACTGGTGTTTGGAGTAGTAGATATTTATGCAGATATCTGCTTTATAGCCAAATTTTCAAGACAGTGATGTATATCTGTGCCCTGGTGCCCAAGGGATTTAAAGTAGGTCTCCTTCATTCTGGCCTCTGAACATCCTACCTGCTCCTGCAGCCTATGAGGGGAATTTCAAGCACCCTCCACCCCTGCTTTCTGATCTCATGTGCCTTTTGTGTATTTTTTTAGAATATTTTAAGAAAGATTTTACTAGGTAGCCAGGCTGGTTTGGTACAGGTGACTGACTCTATGGCTTCTGAACGCTGGCATTACAGGCTGACTTGGTTAGGGTTTCTATTGCTGTGAAGAGACACTATGACCATGGCAGCTCTTATAAAGGAAAACATTTCACTGGGGGCTGGCTTACAGTTTCAGAGGTTTAGTCTATTATCATCATGGCAGGAAGCATAGCGGTGTGCAGACAAACATGGTGCTGGAGAAGGAGCTGAGAGTTCTACATCTGGATTGGCAGGCATCGGGAAGAGAATTGGTTTGAGCTTCTGAGACCTCAAAGCCTACCTGCTAGTGACATACCTCCTCCAACGAAACCACACCCACTCCAATAAGGCCACACCTCCCAATAGTGCCACTCCCTATGGGCGCATGGAGGTCATTTTTATTCAAACCACCACACAAGCCCACCAGAAGAACACCACCACGACCACCCCCACCACCCCCACCACCCCACCCCCCAGTAAAGATAAAAGGTGAAGTGGGTACTAAGCAAACATGCCACGTGCAACCGAGTTAGCACAAGAGGTTTATTAGGGAGGGGGGAGGGGGAAGTGAAAGAGCTTTTTTTTTTTTTTTTTAATCATAGAGCACTGGAGAATTCAAGTGTGTCAACTACGTGATGATGGTGGCAC